GACCAGGTTAAAATAAATTTTCCTGAACGTCTAGTGTTCAAAACAAAATGCGATCTACTTTAATTAACGCCATTTAAATCAGCGACATCTTCTTCAGCAAATTTTGATTGAAACTCTTTCGCCTTTCCTTAAGAATCGAATATTATGATATAGGAAAAAAATTGACTTCCTACTCTTCTTGGAACTCACAAACCATCAAAGTATAAAACACACCAAAACTTTTTCCTGATACATCATTAGGTCCTTTGAAGCCACTGAAACAATGTGGAAAAGTTGAAGTAAATTTCCTTGGCAACATTACAAATGAAATCTCTTCGACTTTCTTGATCTGACTCCATTCTATGCAGAATGACCGAGCTGGTGAATGGTTTAAATGAAAAATCGAACTCGTTGAATAGTTATTACCTCACCTTCTTCTCAAGGAAGTATCAGACAATTTACGGTGAAGGCTCCCGAAAGATTTGTGCTTGATATCGTAATGATTGTTACAAAAGATATATTTATAACATCCAATATTAACCAACCTGCCACTCTGTTGCAATTTCTCCACCACTTTGTTTTGCCGGGATCCCTCTCGTCTTTTAGATTTCTGGAGTTATTTGTATTTCTCAACTTTGGAGACTCTGTGAGTTTAGTAAAGCCAAGTGAGTACCTCCGCAACACATATGCTTTGGTTTTCTTCTTTTTGCTTGTCTGAGAGAAATTCACTGATCTAAATATAACCCATAAAAACATTGCTTACAGGCTACAATCAAATTAAGTGCGAGACTCCTAGAAGGTCAATCACACGGCTACGTGATGTGCCACCATCTGGGGCTAACGTTGACCTCAAGGAGACATTCAGATACTCTGTAGCGCTAATAGATCCAAAAGGTGGACTGCTGTCCCAGCTTATCTGGACTGTAATCACGTGTGCACAGGTGTTTTCGAATAAGGTGGTGGTAGTGTATCTTTTAGAGATTTCAATCAAATAAGCTGGGAAAATGACCAGGCTGTCCGAAAGTTCTATATAATGTGTTCCTAATTTGCTTCTCTCTAAATGGATCACATTACTGGACCGTTAGGTAGGGCGAGTACAGAAAAATTGCTGTATTCTCAAAGACACTTTTAGCTGCTTCAGTCTGAAAGGACTACGGTGAAATTCTCTAGTTAAGGCGCACGATTTCTCAGCTGATGGCCGGATGATGGAGGATGAAATGACCAAGTAGGACTTCACTAGACCAACTAGACCCGGAAAACATTACCTATTAAATGCGTAAAGTGTATAATAAATGCTCCTGAGACTGTAGGATAAAATTTCGTCGTTGATGGTCTTGTCAAAATAATGTTCATCGTCAACATCAATTGACTTGTACAATTAGTAATCCAGATCGGATGCTTGCCTGTGAAAAGATGTGCCCGAGCATTCACTTGAAGATCGTCATCGTCTATGTGACAAATCATGATGAAAACGAGATAGGCTGGTAGAGGTTCTATAGAAATGGCCAGTCCTTTCACAACGTCCTTACTAACGTCATAAACGTAATCGTTGACTCAAGGAGAGCGTATACTGATCTTCATATCCACCCGCGAATTTACTAAAACTGGAATCGGACGAAGCAAGCGGTAAAAAGTGATTCGTATACTAGTAATGATGTAGAGCACGTTTGTTCGACTGACATGTTTTCAAATATGTTCCAGTGACAAAATATGAAAAGTTACGATAACCGTATTGCGCTTTCAGCCGGAGTAATCCACTATGAATTTCACGAATCTGACGATCAGAAAATCAATGTGGACATAATTTAAGAGAAATTCTAACACATAAACCTAGACATGGTAAATAGTAAATGTTCAGTTCTCTGGTATGAGAACGCCCGCAGCTTACTGCAGACTCAAAGTTAAAATCGCAGCACATCGCTAATTTTGCTTCTGAACTAAATGAACTTTTATATCATTCAAAAAATGCTAATTCTAGTGATTTACGCGTTGAGCTACGAGAGTATCTGTGAGCCGAATTATAGTATTATAAATATCGGTTGAAACCACGAATTACTCTAGCATCTAGAGCGCACGTAACGGGATGACATATGATGCGACATTCTTATAGAAGAATAAAATTGACTCATATATATCACAAAGCGATTTCAGCTTCTTATTTTTCCTTCAATGCTTACTTCTTCCCTAGAGGAGCTGCTTATAATTATGCGTTTCTTGAGAGCAGTAGCTACTAGACTACGGCTTTACAGCAAAATTGTCGTCTTGCTTTGAATACTCACTTCTGGCTCACAATAACTCTCGATGATGCTTCTGCGTGATTCCTCTGTTTCGGCGTCCTCTCCAGTATTCTAAAATACAATGAGAACCTAAATTTCTGAATCTGAGAGATATTTGTTTATTACGTTAGCCATTATACTATCAGTGTGCTGTATTCGTTTGTTTCCCTATCTCAATGCCTTTGAGCCTTTCAGAATTCTTCACATTTCTATGGATTAAGGACCACTAAACTGCGGCTTTACTGCAAAAAATTTGATTTGATTTGATAACTTAATTCTCGATTAAAAGCACATCTAATGGTTCTGCGTGATTTCGCTATTTCGGTGTTCTCTCCAGTCACGTGGAACATTTCAAAGATCCGGTCATTGAAAATGATACTACGAAATTTGAAATTTTTTTATGTCGTTTCGTCTAAGATTTTGCGCAGTCATGAGGAGTTACAACTACTTGATAACGGTTTCATCTCGAAAGTGGGGCTTACGTTGCAAGATTTTACGCCTTGGGTATTTCGATGTGGCGTTTTGGTTTCACAGGTCAACAGATAACTTTCATGCACAGTTTGTTTTGGAATACGCTTCTCTGATGCATAAATGGAGCGTGAGATCTAACCCATGCCCTTGGTGCTAGTCTGCTAGAGATTGTCTCAATCTTCATACAGACCATTAAGCTAACCTTTCTGTTGGAATAAAAACAATGAGCTAATGCCAATCCTTCCGTCCAATCACAGAATCTCATAAAAGGAATTCTTTTTTCAAAATAGCAATCACTAAAAATTGCTCAGCTGATTCTTAAGCCTGCCAGCCTATGGTCACTTCATAAAATGGGAAAAAAACTCAGAAAGGCGTGATTGGCTGGAAGAACTATTTCATAGGTCTATAATTACCTTGCTTATTGATGAACCCCAGTTGCTCGCTTTTGAAGACTTCGCAACGACTCCACCTAGCGGGAGCCATTTTCATGTGGTCTGCATGACCTCTGTAGAGGTCACGTTTCTCAATCATTGATTCTGGCGCGTAGAACTTTTTCCGATGCTAGGGTGAATTAATTCTCTCTCCACTAAAGGTTAAATGAAATTGGTGGTGAAACTGAAGAAGCTGTTCTCTACAACTAACATCATAGAAGAAATCATTTTTGAGGCAAGTTCGTTGACTGTATTGAGGGTATTTAGCTGCTATGCCATTAGACAACCACAAAGTTAACGAATCTTGTACCCTTTACCTGCATGGTAAGACTCCTTTCTTCTGGCCTACTTCAAATGATTTGCTTTGAATGACTTATGATAAACAGCTTCAAAAGCATTCTGTATATTGTAGTTCATAGAAGAACTTAACTCTAACAAAATAAGGTGGATTCTCTAATCCACGCTGTCGAGCACGTTGTGACATAATGAAACTTATCTTTATAAAGAGAGGGTGCATGTAGCACATTGGTTAGAGGTGGCCCCCCATTCACATGTCGCGGATTCCAGCCCGCGACCAGAGATCGTCAGAGCTTCAGTCGCTCCATTGCCGACAAGTTATGCTAGGCTCCCCTGAGCCGATAGCAGCACGAACCTAATGCATCAGTGGACCACCGAGAGTTATTGTCGTATGCCAATTATGTACACAATCATGGAGAACCGTACTCGATTAAGTCGAATGCATTGCACATCTCTATGGAGTCAATCAACGTCAAGTATTTAGTCCTTACATCTCATATCTATGCGACTAGCGAAAACTCACCCAGGAAGCAACCAGAATGATATTTTGGCGAAACTGGCAGATATTCTCATAAGATACTACTACTGAGAATATGAAATAGTCTATACTCAAATATTTGCTTGCTTTTTATTGAAGTAAAGCTATCATCGTATTGTAGAGCTGAGACTGAAGCTCTTTTTATTCATCGGTTGATGGCAGTATCACATGGAAATCACTTGTTTCTAAAAAGCTTACTTATATGATTAGGACACTCCTGATATTGTTTAACAAGTAGTATAAATACTATAACAACTTAAATGTGACATCTTGAATACAGCTACGTTCTAGGGTATTAGCTCAATGTGCTCCTGCAGTCTCAATAGTACATCAATTTTGTTCACCTCTTTTACACTTGCGAATTCATTGTCGTCGTTCCTTACGAATCGGCGATAAATCTTCACAAAAACTGAAAATATTTACGGTAAAGACGAAAAGATGCAATGTTAGTGCACATAACAATAGAAGAAACTTACAGTTTTTCACAGATTTCATGCAGAGAGCGATGACACTATGACTGATCGGTGTGCTTCCTAGCGTTTCAATGAATGAACTTCCACATAACTCAGATATTTATAGTCACTTTTCTCGAATATATCACGTCGTCAGTCAAATGATCAAAGAAAAATAAACATCTGATTACTGTTAATTTGACCAAACCTATTAGCGGTTGGTGGTGTTAGCTATGATAGTGAGATATTGAAGCATGAAGGTGGCATGAAGCTAAGCGGTGGTAGTGGTAGCACGCGTCCCCGGTTTGGGTGAGACGCGAGTTCAGCTCATGTCTGAAGTAGCATTTTTGCTCACCACTCAGTTCGCCTGCCTATATATAAAACATAGCACTGCTGAAGGAGCAGTCTTAAGATGAGGAATATTGACTGCTGAACCTGTGTATCTGCGTGAAATATAGCGAAACGAAAAGAAGTTTGTGAATTTTCAGTTGGTTGTTGACGGTTGGCTGATTACAGATATCGCAATGTAGCGTAGAAATAGTGTTTTGCAAAACAAGCGTCGGTGGTGCAATGGTTAGCATACGCTCCCAGAAGAGTGAGATCTGGGTTCGAGTGCCGGCTGACGAAAACGTTTATGCGCAGCACTGTACACTATCAGGTAATTTCCAGTTTGTCAAACGGATGGCCTCAGTCAATTGGAGATTGAACATAGTTTCTATAGTTCAGCAGAACCCTTGATGAGTCCAACAGCCGAAAAGGCCTGCTGTTCTTTACTCATCCATGACTCGATGTTGGACCTGATGACACCACTGGGATGTTGAACCTGCAAATACAGTACATTGACTTCGAAGATGTCTACAAAAGCGCGTAGTAATACAATAGAAGAAGTTCGTCGAGAAACCATGTGGATTCAAGACTTTAATTTTCATTTACTGCCTATTTCTACATTGAAAGCAGAGTGCGACTTGATAAACTACTACAAGAATGTCGAGTTACGAGCAAAACTTGGAACCTCAGATAAGTTCCGAACCAGTGATTATTACCCATTGAAAAGACTAACGTCTTATCCACTGCAACTGTAGTCCAATCGATTGGTTCAGTATTGAGCTTGAATTGTTTGGCCGTGGTCAATTGACACTAATATTTTGTTAAATTACATTGTGGATTGCGCTGTCTTGAATCTTTATGAAAGACAAAACATTGTTTCATAAATTTGCTGATGCTTTTTATTCTGTACAATTTAGGTTTCTGTTCCACTGTCAGCTGACAAATTGCCCGATCTCTACAATGACTCGTTTTCAATGCTCTTTTATGAGACCTGAAATGGTCACCATGTTCCCAAAGCGATGATGACTGACTCGGAGCTAACAGTCTTAGATGAAATCCGGACCAGTTCTTACCGCTCGCTTTTCCATTCGAAGAAACTTATCAACGGCAAGGTGGACGCAGCGAATAAGTACGCTCATGGACATTCATCGGGAAAATTATCATCAACCACTATACTACCGTCAGATTGAAAGTAATTACTTAAAAACTAGGACAAACTCAGCGTTCTAACGATCGAGTTATACGACATCGTAGCAGTGCTCTATTACGCTTGCCGTATTTTCGGACAGTAATTTTTCATAATGACCAAACTAGACTCTCATCACATCTTTCCCGTGAAAAAGGTTGTATTGGCTGGGAGTTGCTCGCCTTGTAATGCTTGCTACGCAGGGCATTAATTTTCCTCTGCCGTAGATCAAATTAATATAATAGCACAATGTCAACAACTAAGGATATTGATATATGTGCCTATAAGCTAAATGGATAATATGCGATCAATAATAGAGTATTAGAGAGGAGCAGATCTACGAAATAATGTGCGCAAGATAGGGTGAGTAACAATGACTCCTGAGGCGTGACAGCTAATCGGACGGCTGTTGGTTTGATGTGATGTGCGGGTGTAGTATACAGTTGCATCAAAAACAGCCTTAATTGAGCATTATATGAAGTTACTTATGAGACAATGCAAAGCGACGATTGAGACTACTCTGGAGGGTGGCTCAATTGGAAGCGGGATAAGTTCAAAATCATTAAGGTGGACAGGAGTATGTAGATGTGGTTAAATCTAAGACAGCCTAAGAAGTGGATTGACATGTTAGTATGGACTTATGCAGATCACTTACTAAGAGAGCTTAGCATCAATCCAGTCTACTCCTGTCAATGCAGAGTTGAACGGATAAGTGTGAGCAAGAGAGCAAGCAGTAGGATCGGTGCTGGTGACTTCGACGTGCCATTAATGAGGATCGAAATGGGGATCAAGAGCTGAAGAACGGATCACTGACTCGTGTTTGTAGAGCATTTAGGCAAATGACTTTTTGGAATGCGGATAGGTGGCTGGAGAGTTATTTCAGCAATCTAGAGGGTGACTCTAAGAAGATGACAGCGACTTGAGAAGCGTATAAGTGTCATTGGGATGATTTAGAAATTATGCTTATTCTCAAATGGACAAGAGGGGCCTATGGAGATTAGTGAATAACTGAGATTATCTAAGGTAAGCAATGAGTTTGGATGTCGGCTACTGTTTCGAAGCCTTTTGAGGTGACTAAAATGTCATCGAAGGCGTGCACTTGGACGTCGCTCACGAGTTTTTGTGTCCGTCTTTTGTCTGGGAACCGTTCGAACTGCCAGCTGCGAGACACAGAAACTGTCCACCTACCGTCTCAACTCGCAAACCAGCACTAGGACTCATTACTTGACCCTTTTTATTATCTACAATTGGAATATTAGTTATTTGACGATATGCGACAGGAATAAGCGTAGAAGAGAAAGGAAAGTAGCAGTTATTTTCCTAATAACTGCTACAAAGAATATTGGACAATTCTCTGGAGCACTTAGCAGGTTTTAGAAAATGGTTGTTCTCGGTTATAAAGAGACAAATGAACATCTGCCCTCATCTGCTAATAGGAGCTTTTCATGGGAGTGATTAATTGAGAATGAAGGACTAATCATTCGAAAGCTTAAATCTTTGGCTAAAGCCACACGTAGCCCATTTTTCAAAACACCCTTCTAATACGTTATAGGATCCAAAATAAAACTTTGTTTCACACGACCACGTGTTAATTTTCTTATCTCACTTATATTTCGCTGGACAAAACTCCTTCCTTAGAGTGCTACTACTCTTTCGGTAGCACAAGTTTCGAAGAACTCAAAAGTGTATTTGCTTTTTAAAGGCTCTTTTGATAACGCTGTAGTAGAAAGAAAAGCTTTGCCCTTCACACCTTGCCAGACAGAACTCTTTTTTTGAAACTATTTGTATTCATTTGATAACCTGAATTTCAATGACCCCAACGATGTGGTTATTTTCTGGACAAATGGCTAGCAGGGAGAATAAGATCGAGTTTTACACTTTTGTCGAGCTTGTTTGTTGGCTAGTCCATGGATCAGGGTCAACTGATCGAGGGCCTGGTCGTTGGATATATAGGATACAGTTTGTAATTCAACTGGGAATTTTTTCTCCGCTTCGAAGGGCTCTTCAGGCAAAACGATTACTTAGGTACTACGTAGATTTCTCAAAGCATATATGCTTTTCGTGCTTCTAGCGAGCTATGAAGGATAAAAAGGATAAAGCTCTTGGCGTTGATCAATCTCTGAGAGATGCACCATGCAATCGTCTTTAATTTCTAACTTCGTTCGAGGTGATTGAATGCATATCTAGCCTTTACAATGACTCTCGGTGATCCTCGCGCTGAACCGAGTCAGTGCTGCTCATTCTCCCAGACAAGTCTGAGACCAGTCTGGTACCAATTTACCGAACCCGAAAAGATGGATGTCTTGGTGAGCTATGAGCGCGAGATCGAACCACTGACTTCGTGTGCGACGCAGAGCCCTTCTAACCACTGCGCCACATGGGCCATCAGCGAACTACACGCGTGAGAAAAATGAAGGCGCGCAGAGGGTGTGAAGCATAATTATTATGAATTTTACAGCGTCATAAAAAGGTCTTTTCAAAAACCAGCCACGTGGGCTCTAACCAAGGATTGAAGTTTTGAATGATTATTGGCACTCCTATGAAATGTTAGTGTTTAGCGAATGAATTAGGTTTCTCACTTGTCGCCATCTATTATACAAGTAACGAACCTTCAATTTGATCAACACCAAAATGTCTACTAAGAGAGGATTGAACCAACAACCTTTTGTAGTGGCTGGCATCACTAACCATTCAACACTACAGATTGCTCGCCGCCACGAGCGACTGCTGGGCGGGGCTAGGGTCGTGACCCCGCCGTACTCAAAGTGTTGAGACCGCTGATATTGCAGCGTGGTAAGCTCATCGGGCCGCGTGTTACGGTCTCCTGTGAGCCAAAGAAGGTGCGGTGTAGTGCTTTTATTTGAGATTATTCTCCTACTCCTCGGTTTTCGCACATATTTTCTGTCCTCTTAATACACATATCTGACATGATCCTCTGCTCATGCTCTGTCCTTAAACCGCGCCTATTCCTTCCGCGTGGTAAAAAGCACTAGTCCATTACGTGATTTAGTCTTACCAACATTTGGTGATTTTGTTTAAGACATGCAAGGAACCGATGGGCGAGAGCCATTACCGACTGAATTCCTCGGACATCAAGCGCTTATAAAAAGACCACCAACCCCATGGTCCGATTTTTTCACGAAAACACTAAGAGAAAGATATGGCGCTCAACGAATACGTAGAGCGAGGAGGACCGACTGGGCTACTCTTGCACGCGTTGAGGAAAAATGAAAGTGTTGCTGGTACCCGCTCGAATCACTCGCCCGGTCTACGGGGCTACAGGTGATACAGGTGATACAGGTCATGCAAGGAAATTGAGCGCCGTGGTCGAGTGGCTGTGATGCTCGTCGCAACGTGCGTAAAGCCGAATGCTCCCTCAAACACTCTCCATTAGTCAAAAATGGACGCCCTACTGGAACGCCACAGCCAGGCTGTCCTCGAGATTGCAAAGAGACGCGCTCAAGCGGTCTCCTAGGACGTTCAAGAAGAAACGGTTGAATGCCAAAAGTACTTGAATCCGCAGAGACAGAAAAAACACTATCAATACAGATAATGAAGCACCAAAGAATGCAAGGATTGTTACCCTGCCTTTCTTGTTGTGTTGACATCCTCCGCCTCTCTCTCACCCCCTCTCTCTCTCACTCTCTCACTCTTCTGGCGTTGATCAATTTCTGAGGGATGCACCATGTACTTGATTCCTCAAGCACCGTAAATCCTTAGGGGACCACGGTCCCATCCTCTGCATGTCTAACTCCCAGCGTGCTGTGTCTAACAATGACGTCTAACTCCAGCGTGCTGTGTAGCTAGGGGTTAGACACGCAGAGGGTTGAGTCCACGGTACCATAGATTCTCGGAATGGCTGACTGCATATATGGCCTTTACATGGCGCACGGCGACCTGTCAATGAATCAAGTGTGTCGCCGCCCTGCCAGAAAAGGCTTTTAACGATTTTCTGACAACCGAAAAGTGGAAAACTTGGTCAGCCTAGGAGCGGAACGAACCAACAACTACGTGTGCTGCAAGGCACCTTTAACCAATGAGCATACGTGACAAGTCATCGTATCAAGGAATGGAGCCTATGGCGTCCATTGTGCGCTCCAATACAACTGATCGAGGAGCGCGATTGCAGATTTAGAGCGTCGTTGTGTTCTTTTGGACTGTAGGTTTCTGGTAACACTTTATCAGCAGCTTCCCCCGTATTCCACAATCACACTGCTTATTTTGCACTTAAACCCTGCGTTCGGCATCGTCACAGCGAAAATGACTACCGTGCAGGTGGTTATTTCTGGTCGTCCAAAGTCGTTTGATTGGTGATTGGATCTGTCCGGAGAGTTGCTAGTAGTGCACGGATGGTGAACTCACCGTCGTTTGTTTTCTAATAGTCACCTACGATAGGGTTTTGTTTCAGAGTAATGCTGAGGTCATCTCGTCGATGGAACGGCAATATGTTGAACAAAAAGCGAAATTCGAAAAGTGGAAAATCTATAAGAGTTGTCGATTTTGTAGGGTGTGAATCAAACCCCCCTCAGAGGGCCTTCTTTCTCTCTTTTGTTTTCCTTTTTTTCCTCTTCATCTTTATCATTTTCTTTTTCTTTACGCTCTCAAGGACTGCACACTGATTTCGGCCACTGCATTCGTTTTCTTTTTTTTCCTGACAATCTGTGAAGTTGTAGTGTCTTAGAGGATTTGTCCGTTTTGAGCGTTGAAATTGACCCATTGCGGCTTTCTTTTTCATTCCTCTATTTCCTTTTTTTTCCTTTCCTTCGACTCTTTCATGAGCTTCACACTGATATCACTCACCACATTTGCTTACTATCTCCCTGGCAATCTGTGAACTTATAGTGTCATAGAGCTGTCCCTTTCCTTCATTTAAAACTTGCTCGAGGATGGTACTTGCTTTTCATCAAAACTTGATGGCTTAGGAAAAGGAAGGCTTTGGAAAGGAAAAGGCATTGATGAAAATGAAGTATTAACTTCGTTCAAATTTTGTATGAAGAAAAGGACAGTTCGTGCGAAATTTTGCGTTTCTCTAATCATGCCGAGGTTTAGAGATAGCCGATTTTTGAGCTAGTGTCTTAGAGTATTTATCCGTTTTTTTTTTGGGGGGGGGGGGGGAATGCATTCAACCCAACAGGGCTTTTTTTCTTCATTATTTTTTCTCTTTTTTTCCTTCTGGTTCTCGATTACTGTCGTTGTTTTATGTTTTCATATAGAAATGTAAATTATAGCGCTTCAATGAACTATTCATTTTGGAGGTCAAAGTTGATTCACTTAGAGCTTTCTTTTTCTTTCTTTCATTTTTTCCCTTCTTCCTCTCGCTTTCTTTCCTTTTGATTCTTTTGTAGACAACCATGGATCTGTGAAAGTATAGTGTTATAGTAAGTCTATACGTTTTGCGAAAGGAAATTGACCTAATGGAGTTTTCCTTTTTTCTTTCCATTTCCCGTTTAACTTCCTTTTCACTCATTTTTGAACTATGCACATAGCTTGCATTTCGACCAACCACGTCTCTTTTGTATCTCCTTAACGACCTATAAAAGCATAGGGTTTTAATTGCTTTGTAACTAGATGATCCGCGCTAATTTACGTTGAAACTAAATCTTATGAAGTAAAAATATTCCTAATTTTGAAGATTGCGAGTCGTAAATTTATAAACTAGTGTGAAGAACTATAGAATTGAGCATTCGAACCACCTCTTATGTATGCTAAGAATCTTCTTTACTTCTGTTTATATTTACAATTGTAATTGCCTCGCGAGTGCCAGAGTTGAACCCGCGTTCCACTCGTACCGGAAGCGCGTGCTATCATTATACCACTGATGCCACCGCTTTTCATCCACTCTCTACTTAAAAAGAGTAAAAATAGAAAATCCAAATGAAATATACATTCCGAATAGTTGTCAGCTTAACTGGACCTGATGTCGATATGTGCTTACCCGATCAAACCCGTTGAAGGTTGATTGTTGACAGATGCGATAGGATATATCGAAGGAAGGGTGGTAGCAGAGTGGTGGCATCGGTAGTATAGCAACGGCACATGCCTGCGGGTGCGGGTGAAATACGAGTTCAGTTCCCACGGCAGGTCGAGTGTTTTGCATTCCACTCATTAATGATAGATGTCTATTTATAACAACATAGCCTGCTTAAAAACAGTATAAGTAAAAATCCAAATTCTGTCTAGTCTGCGAGAACGTTTAGTGGCTTTTCGAGGCTGGTGCTTCAGAGCCATACGTTTCTGAGGTGTCGCCCGCTTCATCAGTGGCACATGTGACACACTGATCCTTAGAGAAGGGATGCGGAAACGTTATTCATGGTGATAGCACGTGATACTGTGTTATCACCACTTTTTTCAGACGCTGGATTACGGCTGGTCGTGATTATGTGGAAATGTATATCATCAACAGTTTCTAAACTTCACTATGAACATTCAATATAGTGTGTAAGAATGTCTAGAGAGTTGAAAATAGTTGATGAGATAGATTTATACATATTCAATACCAGCCGTATTTCATCGAATGAAGAACATGCTGTTAATACAATATTACGTGCTATCACCTTAAATAACGTCTCTCCATCCCTGCCATAAAGTAGCGTTCAATGTGGGCGTGGACCACTGATGAAACGGACGACACCGCCGAATCGCGCGCATCGTTTGACGGATCATCTTCGAAAAGTCTAAACATTCTCACAGATTATGTTGAATTGTTGAAGCGAGGTTTGAAAAAGTCGATGTGGTGAATCCGAATTCTCTTCAGTATCATTAATATATGTGAATCATAAAGACATCTTGATTCAGCCGGCGCGAGAATAGTGATGGTAGTAGTAGTAGTAAGTAGTAGCAGTGGCATCTCCTTAGTATCTTGTGGGGGATTTTATTTCTTTAATCTCTAAGGTGAGAGTATGGGTTACTAACTAAGTGAAAAATAATCGGGCGTTTAGTATCTAACGGCTCTACGACATCTTTGTGTTCTCCAAGGAATTCATAATTCAATTACCTCCAGGTTGTTCATTTATTTTCTTATAGTCTCGTTTCAGCCGACAAGTAGGCTTTGAATCGTACAATAAGTATACATGCAGCAATTCCTGCAAAGGGAAAAGGAAGTCTTTGAGAAGTGAGTTTATCCGTTTACTCACTTATTTATTCATTTTTTATTGAACTCGCATGCTTGTGAAACGGTATTTTCCACTGGTAGCGTATTATTACTGTGTTCATCTCAGCTTTATATGAGGGAGGAGGGGTGAATACTCGCGGATAGCTTGCCATTTTCTCCTCTCCCGGTGGGACAGGGAGGAGCCTACTCATTGAAGGCTACTCTAAACCGCGTCTCATGTTCTTTCCAGCAGCTTGATTTCACTTCTGGCCAGTTTGACCATATGCTGTTTCAGGAAAGCAAAAGTTGCTGCCCTAGTGCAGTCGGAAGCCTCTTCGGCTATAGCTGGTCCAGCGAATGTCGACTCAATCCTTGGTAAGCAAGTTTAAATGCTTTGCATTCAGACACGTTGATAGTCATTAATACCAATCCCATCGATATAACGATGTGTTGCAGTGTTGTCATCGGGTTTGATATTGTGGTACTTTTGAATTTATTCAGCATTCTATCGCTTTTGAACCACATGTAGCGCGATGTTAAAAACGCCCTGCGACACACATGATCCATCAATCGATGGTCGATGGTTTGATCCTGCGCTCAAGGCTCACTGAGCCGTCTATCATTCTGAACTTGGTACCAGGCTTCTGTGAAAGGATAGCAGCACTGAATTGATATGTCCATAGGCCACCTAAATGGCAGATGTGTATTCAGTCATATCAAACGATATTTGGTGAAGACAAATGCTTGGCCTTTTTTTTTAGTGATTGAATAGAACCGAGAGCTCTATCCATTTATTCTTTATCGGTTTTAGTCCGCGATTTCGAGCACACCGGTCGTAGCACCACCGCTCGCCGTTCAAATGAATTGGGCCACTGTAAAGTGGTGTCTTGATTGACACATACTTTCATCGACCATCTCGCATGGCAAAGTCAGCTCACCACATTTGGAAGAAATTGGGCTGGACCACGGTGTCACGTCCACCGCGTATAGGCCCGGTATGGCTCCCACTGCTCTCTGATGCAACATCTGCGGAGCAAAAGTTTGAAGACTACAACCAACTCAGATGTGACTTCACCGGCTTTTTTGGTCGCCAGTTTCACAAAAGTGTCGAGGAGAAACCCATTATATCGATTAAACAGTTGTATCAAAGCGATGATTTCGGTAGTGTAGTGGTAGCACGCGCTCCCCGTATGGGTAAAACGCGGGTTCAACTTCCCACCGGGGTTCAAATGTTCAGCATATTGTTCAGCATTGCTGAGTTTCCAGTGTTTTTTCAGAAATAGTACTTCACTTTCGGCTGCTGCGTGGAAGTGCCAGCGGTCTTACTCATCACGCAATAAATTTTTTGGTGAGATTTCATTTTTCCCTCTCTAGTGCATCACCGTATTGCCACCGTTTCGTTTCACTTTTGCGAATTTTTCTAATTTGAAAGACATACTGTGTGATTCTACTAGACGGTGAAAGTAGCACTGGAGGAGCGAGTACTGTTACTCTCAAAAGGGAAAAGGTAAAACTCTCGGCGTTGATCAGTCTTTGAAGAACACGACTTGCATTCATCTTCATCTAGCATCGGTTGGAGTGATTCTAATGCATATTTAGCCGCTACATTAACTCGCGATAGCTTACCGATGTATCATGTCAGTGCTGCTTTCCCTCCCCGTCTGGGAACAATTCACCGAATTCCGGGAAGCGGGAACCTTGGTGAACCCATGGGCAGGGAATTGAAGCCATAAGCCACGTGCATATCGTAGGGCACATCTAACTAGTGCCACGTGGCTCCCTTGTCAATCGAAGTGAAGTGCTTTTTCGTTATAGGGGGTAAAGTAAAAAACCTATTTCATTCGCTGGATAGGAACTTTTTATGAAA